ACATTTTCCCAGAAAATTTTGGGAATGCAATACTGTTATTTTTGGTATTACACTGCACTAATCTAAAGTAAGTTGATATACGTGTCTTTGCAAAATGACGTCATCACAAAATTATGTAAAGAAAAAACCCAAGTCGAAAATGCCGGATATGTTTCATTGTAGACTACTTTTTCCGTACTTTACGGGTCGCGAGACGTCGAGAAAACATAAAAGTGTCATTCGTCCGATGGACTGCGATTGCTATACTTCTTTAACTTACGCTGAGGAACTAAAAATTGAAAAATATGTGAAAATATATAGCAATAGTTGTTTAAATTTTTTAACTGAGACAAATATACAAATTTGAATGGGTACAATGTTACGCTAATAATATAATAACAGTACTATGTTACTAATATTTCAAAATAATAATTAAAGTTACTTTTTTATTAATAAAATAAATTATTTCATTCATTAATTTTTTGGGACCCTGTATAAATAGATCGATTAGTGTGTACACTAATTCAGAATAGGTTTTGTAGTTTCTAAGTTAAATTGTAGATGTTTTCACACAATTTTGGCTTTTTTCAAAAACCTGCATACGAAATGCTAAAAATAGAACGGTATTTTTAAATAAATCACAGGTACGACAGAACAACATTATTTTGCTATACTATGTTCGATGGTTTCGGAAATTACCTACTTGCAGGATAAAATAGCCCGATAGACCACAAACCGACAGACAGACACCAGACAAACGGAAATTCGAGACCTACTTTTTCATATTATGGGAACTATGAAACTTTGGGAAACGATCAAATTAGCTATGACTAATTTGATCAATGGCTAATTAGTATACCTTTCCCTTGTTTTTACGCTTGAAAAGTAAAATGTAATGAATGTTTGTGTGTGTAAAGGATAAACATAATTGCAGATAAAGCGCAACTATTGAAGGTAAATATTTTTTGCATCTTGGTTCATCAAAATTTTAATGCAATGACTAAAATTCTTATCAACCAAGATATAAAAAATGTTTACAAAACAATTAAAAAATTAGAAATTATTTCAAATCAGTGATAATGAATTTGGTGTTATTTATTCTTTATGACAAGAAATTTCTTTGAGATCCAAAAAATTCTGAATGTCGTAATTTACAATCAAAACTGACGGAAATGACGGACAATACTTCAAGAAAACGAACGGTTTATCATTTATTATATACATATAATTAACATCTGCTTATAGCGTTATAGAATTGTTGCTTAAAATTATTTTGAACACTTCATAATCACATTTAAATTCAGCGACAAGGTGAACATTTCAAATATAAATATAAAATTTATCATTATATTTGAGTTATTTTTGTGAAACTGTACTTACTGTTTCTTATAAGAATTCATAAAAAATCTTACTTAGGTTTAACAATTAATTATCTGAATTCCGAAAACTCTATATTTTTCAATTTATTTCTGCAAATATCTGGCAGTGTTACATAACTCACATATCTGGAATTAATTGATTGTATATAATCTTAGTAGATTACAGTAATCTTAATTAATATTATACTTGTCAAATTCTCCAGCTGTCCTAATTAAGTAAATATCGACTAAGCAAATTTAAAATTAGTACAATAAACAACGATTAAGTGAACTATTTGCAAGATAAATTTGGGTTTTTGCCTTGCGTTGTTTGATACTCAAATTATTCTGTAATTTCATTAAGTATGGTTTCGTGATTTTTTTTTATTATCAGAAATCAAGCCGTAAAATTACATTTGCGTGCTGTAGATATTGAAATTAAACAATTTTAAAGCCTGCAGGTACTCTATTCTAGAAAATATTAAGAATGGTTCGGCCTTGTTGTCGACCCATCATAGTACAGATAGGCAGCTGTTGAGAACACATCGATAACGATAATATTTTGAATACCAAGAAATAAAAGATATGTCGATTTTTTTTATAACAAATATTACAAAAGGCACAAATTAAAAAAATCAATAATTTGCATTTAAATAGAATTCGAAAAATAGAACAGACATCGTCCATAAAATTAATTTTTGCGCATCTTTGATGAAGTATAGAAATGAGGGTAGAGAAATGAGGGATTCTGTTGAAATATATTAATATATATACAAAGCATTCTTTTATATATATTTTGAAGAAACATTTTATAACATCCGAGAGGTAAATTTATTTGGGTAGATAACCAACATTACAATTCTTTTTTCAATTAGTGAAAAAACATTGAAAAAGATTATTTATTCGATCGTTATATATTACATTTAGGCAAATAAAATTAATGACAGCCAATAAATTGAAACCAAATTATTAAACCAATTCGCTGTAAAAAGAAAATTGTCATCAATAATTTTCTGTTATAATTTACTAGGGGAGAGGGGATACAAAACATACAAATACATCAGCACAATAAAGAAATGAAAAACAAAATATGTCTTAAATCACTCGTACCTATTGGATCGTAGCAAAAAACAAAAGTAAAATCACTAAAAAGACGTACCGTTAGAACTATAATGCAAGAATAAAAGACGAAAATCGAGAAGCTCATTTACTTAGGGTGTATGCTTTTATTTTTATTTGAGAACAATTTATACATTTTTTCAAAGGTAATAATTGATACATGAATTACTTAGTTAAGTATGCATTAAAATTTCAAAAATTTAAAAATCACGTTAGTCAAGTATAACATTCTTAACACATTTAATACAATACACTTAATACAAATTAAACATAACTCACGAAACACAGTTAAAAACTGGGTTAAATAAAATGTGGTCAATAAAAAATACTTTAAAATGATATCATAAATTTTTTGTATGGAATTGACACACAAATTTAGTTACCGTATCTTTAGTGTGGAAATTTGTAGGATATTATTTATCTGAAGTCGTCTCTGGGGTGTATAATATGTTGCCTATGCAAAAATTGTCAGGCGTAAACAGATAAAAGGAACACCTGTATAGTACTTATATACTTATAATTTAAGATAAATACGTCTGCAAGATTTTAAAGTATTTAGTTTCGCAATTCTTGATTTAATCAATAAAATTAATTGACTCAGTCATTAATTTTTTTCAGACACCCCGTATAAGCAAATCTAAAAAATATTAATGCAGTGATAAATAGAGAGCGGATTTCTGTCGGGCTAGGCAAGGCCAAACTCGGTACGGCTCGTACGGGATGGGAATTCATTGCAGTTACGAGCTGCACATCGTTTATTTGCGATTAGAATAACGCTGCTTTATTGCACTCTGCTGTTAATTCCCGTTCTCATTTACTTAGACGTTTGATTAATAAATCGTTAATTGTATTTATGGAATAAGTAACGATTAAATTCAGTGATTATGTATCACCCGCTACTGAGTCCCGGCGATCCAGCGCGTCCCCACCTATAACCGTGACGTAGCCCGACAGAAATCCGCTGTCTAGTGATAAATCACAAGTATAGTCTCATCATTCTTTACACATTTAAGATAGCATCTTTTCAGCAAAATTTTGCGGCGGCGTTATCAAATTTTTAGGGGGCATGAGCAAATATATTTTGATCAAAATTTTTACCATGCTTATAACTTTAAAACATCTCCAAGATTTCAAAGCATTCGGTTTTGCAGTTCCTGATTAAATCAATAAAATAATTTTTTTGAGTCACCCTGTATATGCAAATCCAAAAAATATGAATGGAATGATAAATCGCAACTACAGACTCATCATATTTTGCACATTTTAGACAGGATTTATTCGGCAAACTTTTGAGCTGACGTCATCAATTTTTTGGAGGGCACAAGTAAATATATTTTGATTACAAATTTATCACGCTTATTATACCTATAAACCATGTGCAAGATTTCAAAGCATTCGGTTTTGTAGATTCAAAATTAAATTGCAAAATGTTTTCATAATTTTGATTTTTTTTTCAAAAAATCTGGACGTTTCGGGTAAAAACTCAACTCAGAGTCATTAACTACACGTGTAGGACTATGTTATTTTATACAATTTAAAATCCATTTACTATGTACAATTTTGAAGTGACGTCATCGCATTAGTGGTGGGGATGATTAGACAAATTTTGGTTAGCGTTTTACCATCTACATGATACTCCTATATAAGTACAAAATTTCACAACAATCAGCCTAGTGCTTTCGGAGATTATATGTCTAATAAAAATTCGGGACGGCAGATAGACGGACAGACAGACGGAAACGGGAGACCTATTTCTTCGTCCTCTAGGGATAATGGAAGATCGAGAAAACGTAAAAGTAGAGAGTCGGCCGACGAACTCGATTACAATACTTCCTTTGCTTACCCTCGGGAAGTAAAAATTGACAGTATCGTAATAATTTTTAATATAAGATGTGGTGTGGTGGTGGTGTTAAGTGATAGCAGACGATACTTAACTCTTTCATGCATTATGCAATAAATTTACTTTTCTTTTATACATACAACCTTTTAAAGATCAAAATTTTTGATCTTATTAGACGCAACGGCTCAGTTCGAGGATCAGTCTGCAAATAAATGCTAAAAGTCCAAAATATATCAAAGTTGCACAATAGACTGGCGGATGAAAAATGAACGTCCACAAATAACTGAGCTTTTAGAATTTTTTAAACACTGTCCCAAAAAGTTCATCCTTGATATTACATAGGAATATGAAAGTATGCGTTCCAAACTGTATTTCTTTAGTCTTTATTCAGAAAATTCGCGACAAAATTCTAGAAAATACTTGTAGTAGTGAGTTAAATTGTTTTTATTGTATTTCAGGAAATGGTGCGTTCAAATAATCCCCGTTTTATGTGACTAATTTGCATTCGTGTATAATGGGTTGCATACTAAATACAAAATCTAATAAAAATAATTTCCCCGTTTCTCTATCATACAAAAGGAAACATTAACACCAAAAGCAACTCGTTTCACTTTATTTAAGTAAAATATGATCATCCACACCTTAGTACACAAAAATAAAGTAATGGCAAATATTCTGGGATAAACAATAGCAATAATCACACATTTTTGTTGAATACAACTTTTACTCAATCATCCTATGAGGTAAAGAAGTATGACAAAAAATCACTTTGTAAAATTGTAGCTACTTCAACGCTGTAACGCGGTTGTATCAAGTCCAGGAGCGTCTTTCTTGGCAAAACCACCCAAAAGTTTCTTAATTTCTGCAATGGCTTTTCCTGGATTTAACCCCTGCAAACAAATAAAAAAATTATACACAAAACCACAAACGCTCATTGCACTTTACCTTAGGACAAGTTCTTGTACAGTTCATTATAGTGTGACACCTAAAAACAGAGAATGGATCTTTCAATTGATTCAATCTTTCTGCTGTCGCCTCATCTCTAGAATCAATGATCCAACGATAGGCCTTAAAAATTAATAATAAATCTCCCCCACAAACAAATCTACCAACATACTTGCATAAGTACAGCTGGTCCAAGGTACTTATCACCATTCCACCAATAGCTTGGACATGACGTTGAACAACAAGCACAAAGAATACATTCATACAAACCATCCAACTTCTGCCTATCACCCACGCTTTGCAAATATTGTTGATGAGCTCCAGACTTCTTTTCATCACTTAATTTACCAAAATTAATTAAAAAACCATTCAATTTTCCCTTACTACTTACGAGCGTTGCAACCATGGCTGAATTGACTTATACTGATTATAAAAATTAGTCATATCAGGAACAAGGTCCTTAACGACGTACATATGCGGCAAAGGATAAATCTTTGTAGATTTCGCCACATTTGTGTCAATTTTACTAATACAAGCGAGAGTATTCACACCTCCAATATTCATAGCACAAGACCCACAAATCCCTTCACGGCACGACCTTCTGAAGGTTAAAGTGGGGTCCATTTCATTTTTAATTTTAATCAGTGCATCCAAAACCATAGGACCGCAGGCGTTCAAATCTACACTGTACTCTTGCATCCATGGTTTCTTGTTGGGTTCGTCTGGGTTCCAGCGATAAATCTCGAATTTCTTTTCGCGGGTGGCCTTCGACTGAGCTTGTGGGGCAGCGGCGGCGGTCGCATAACAACGAACCTGCAATTGTTGATAAAAATATTAACTCTTATGTAACAGGATAGGTAAGGTTAAATGGTGGATTTACTTGCGAAATTGAACCTCTACACAGTCGAAAGAGTTGCATTTCACGGGACATTTTTACAAAGGCTAAACTAAACGAAAATAAATAAGATTTGTTGTTTTGTAGAACTTATGTTAATAGTTTGACAGTTTTGTTCACACACTGGCGACCCTAAACTGACACTTGACAAGTTGGCACGCAGAGGTAAAAGTGCAAGTGCTGCCACCGGCGGGGTCGTTTGAAAATTAAAGTGAAAAGAATTATTATTATTATTAGTGTTATTATATACAAAATTTGAGGGTTACTTAATCTATTTAGTCACTTTTTGTTCTGTGCTGTAAATGTAAACACTTGTAAAAATTGGTACATTATTTGTAATTTCATAAAAGAGCAATCATTAAAAAAAAAATTAATCGCATTCGATGTCGCAGTCCGCCTCGATAATGAGTGTAATTAGTGCAATATCAGTTTACTAATGATTTTCTGATTTGAAAAATGTAAATTTTTTTACTACATATTCCATTCAACACGTCTAATTTATTGTTTGTTCATGTCATGGAGATAAAATATATTACCTCCATGGTTCATGTTTATTCATATTTTCAGTTCATGTTAATATTTTTAACTGTTCAGGGTTCTAATACAATGTAACAATGATGTAAAAGTGCATATGAAAACACATGATAGAAATTTACTTATTCAGGCTTCACTTTTTTAGCATGATATAATTAAAGTTCTGCATGTTTTTACTTATGTTATTCCAATATCCACACTTCATAACCTCTCACTGGAAATTGATATTGTCATTTATGACATTTAAACTAATCTTAAAAATTGATCCGTTTTGAGAAAAAAGACCTTGAGAGTTCTCATCAGTTAAATTAATAACATCATGGACTAGAAATGGAAGGTGTTTCTATGTTTATTTTATTACATCCGAATTATTTTCTCGCAGCTGTGATAACTCAAACACCCGCCTTAAATTGACATCTGAAAAAAAAATTGAACACCCGCGAAAAATTAAAAAATTTGGCTTTGGCTGTGATCATCTAACAAAATGGAACCTACGTTGTCTGTTTTTTTTTTGTGGCGGAATGCGTTCAGATGCAAGTGGTGGACTCCAAGGTTGGAAAAGTACCGCTAAATAAAACATAAAATATATGAAGAATACAAAATAATGTATTCCTCCTCTCACAAAAAAAAAAGAAAGAAAAACCAAGCTGCGACTAAGTTGCGTAGGCTGAAGACCTTCTTAGTTCTAAGCTAGGTATAAAAAAAACTTGCCTAACTTTGAATGAAATCAAATTCAACGTTCTGAATCAATGCAAATAGGTATTTAATGAATATTACAAATTTAATAAAAACAAAGGAAAATCTGAATTAAAGTAACCGGCAAATTTAAAATTATTGCAGTCAAGAAGAGAACAACATTTTTTATACAAACTGTGCAGCGTGTGGCGATCGAATTATATCAATTTTATTCTAGAGCGCAGCAAAATTACCCATAGATGGTGTTGTAGCACGAGCAGAGTTTGGGGCTCCTGGTTGCGGCTGTTCTCTCACCACGGCGATGATTCTACTCTATCGGCAAGCACATGTCACCCAGCACTCACAGAGCACCAGCACCCCTCTATCTAACGAAGAAACGTGCCGCGTTTACATGCCGTTACGGTCGCAAATTCGTGGTTGGAAATCCCGGCTATCGAGACGCCGCTAGTGTCACGGCATCCAGACCGCTCTCCTGACTTCTATTCTAGGTCTGCGTCCTTTTTGCAGATGGCGCGATAAATCCCGCCAGGTCTACTAGGAACCGCGCCCCCCGCTTATGCCACTTGGTTCGGTGTTATCTACCTTGTGATAACCCAAACTTCCCGCCTTTTAATTGACCTTGAAAATAGTTTGAAAGGGCCGCGAAAAATTAAAAAATTCAAAAGTTTGGCCTTGGCTGTGATCGTCTAACAAATAGGAACCTACGTTGTGTGTTTTTTTTTTGCTTTTGAAAAATGGCGGGAAGATGTTCTTTCATACAAGTGAGCATATACTGCATGTGAGTTGAGAGCGCAAGAAATAATAAACAAAATTGTTTTGGAGGGGGGAGTACGGCACCTCCTCGCAAGAGGAAAGAAGATTTACTCCTCAGCGCAAAAACCCCCTTTTGTTTTATTCCCGGACATATTACATTTCAAACACCTTAAGGTATATGAAAGAAAACACTCGCGAATTGACAGACATACACATATGAAAAATTGGTCTAAAGAGTTTAGACAGTACTTCCCTCGCTGTCGGAAACGTGACGACTGCATGTCTATTATTTTTTGTTTGTTTGTTTTGTAGAACCTCAGTAACCAACAAAATATATTTACGCATTCATTATTTTTTTTAGTCACCCGGTATATGCAAATTGAAAAAATATGAATGGAATAATAAATTACAAGTACAGACTCATCATATTTTGTATATACTAGACAGGATTTATTCGGCAAACTTTTGAGCTGACGTTATCAGTTTTTTGGAGAAGATAACCAAATATATTTTGACCAAAAATTTATTATGCTCTTTATAACCTTAAAACATCTGCAAGATTTCAAAACATTCGGTTTTGTAGTTCCTGAGTAAATCGATAAAATAAATTTACGCATTCATTATTTTTTTTGAGTCACTCTGTATATCCAAATCCAAAAAATATGGATGGAGTGATATATCACAAGTATAGACTCATCATTTTTTGTACATTTTAGATATGATTTATTCGGAAAACTTTTGAGCTGACGTCATCAATTTTTTGGAGGGGATAAGCAAATATATTTTGACTAAACATTTATTATGCTCTTTATAACCTTAAAATATCTGCAAGATTTCAAAGCATTCGGTTTTGTAGTTCCTGACTAACTCAATAAAATAAATTCACGCATTCATTAATTTTTTTGAGTCACCCTGTATATGCAAATCCAAAAAATATGGATGGAGTGATATATCACAAGTACAGAATCATAATTTTTTGTACATTTTAGATATGATTTATTCGGCAAACTTTTGAGCTGACGTCATCAAGTTTTTGGAGGGGATAACCAAATATATTTTGATTAAAGATTTATGATGCTCTTTATAGCCTTAAAACATCTGCAACATTTCAAAACATTCGGGTTAGCAGATTCAAAATTAAATTGCAAAATGTTGTTTTATAATTTTGATTTTTTTTCCAAAAATCTGGACGTTTCGGGTAAAAACTCAATTCGGAGTCGTAAACTACATGTGTAGGACTATGTTATTTTATACAATTTAAAACCCATTTACTATGTACAATTTTGAAGTGACGTCATCGAATCAGTGGTGGGGATGATTAGACAAATTTTGGTTAGCGTTTTACCATCTACATGATATTCCTAATATAAGTACAAAATTTCACAACAATCGGTCCAGTACTTTCGGAGATTATCTGTCTAATTAAAATCCGGGTCGGCAGACAGACGGACAGACGGACAGCAGGACAGACGGACAGACGGACAGACAGACGGAAATGAGAGACCTATTTCTTCGTCTTCTAGGGGTCATGAAAGATCGAGAAAACGTAAAAGTAGTGAGTCGGCCGACGGATTCGATTACAATACTTCCTTTGCTTGCGCTCGGGAAGTAAAAAACGAACCAACGGAAATTCTATACATCTGTTTGGAATCAATGCAAATATTTAAATATCACAAATTTAATAAAACAAAGCAAAAACTGAATCAAGTAACTGAATGCAAATACACAAGTTATTACAGGCGTGTGGCGGCAGATCCTTTTTTTTTAAGTTACGGCAGTTAACAGGAGCACAACAAAAGTACCCCTGGGGCATTGTAACATAAGCGGAGTCTGGGCTACCGGTCTGGAGCTGTTCTCCCCCCACGACGGTGATTCTATCTATCGCAAAGCCTACCCCACACGCATATCTCCATTACGAACGTAACCTGCGGAACTAGGCCATGACGGTCGTCCAACCTGCAAGAGATCTCGACTATTGGGCCAAATCGAGAAATTTACAACATCGGCGGCCTCCCCTGAATCTATCCAAACCTGTGGACTTGTACAGGTGACACGATAAATCTCGCCAGCTCGACTAGGAACCGAACTTCGCTTCTGCCACGTTTTCTGTGTCATTTAACCTCAATTCCATTTTAAATATTCAATCTCCCATAACTCTGATGTTAACAACAACTGAACAAGGGTTAAAGCTTCAAAGAGCAATAAACAACATTTAGATTCGCCATACAACCTTGTGAAATTTGAAACAACAAATAATTCTTATATGAGATTAAAGTTGGACATCAAATAATTTATATGATAGAAACATTCATCAACAAAGTATTTACAAAACAAAACTTAACAAGGATTTATGAAACAGAATATCTGGTGTGAAATAAACTTGTACAAATAGAAATATTATGTGAGGTTAAAACTGTCGAATATGAAATTTACGTTCAATTAAAATTATACAACAAATAAAATTACTGAGGCTAAGATTGTGAGATTAAGAAATATAGTACGATGTGAAAATTGCAGAGTTAACAAAATTTACATGAGATTAATTTTTGCCACACTTTATCAACGGTTTAAACAAATAGTTTACATTATGCCAAATTATATCATGATCTAAATGATTGGTTATAAAAAATAATTTACTTTAAGAGTTTAAAATACTACGAACTGGTTACCCCAACAAAACACATAATAAACAAACAGAAAAATATCCAATCATCGCTCCGAGGAAAAAGCGTCTCGGTGATGTAAATTCCAAAATCGTTGCGAAGAAAAAGCGTCTCGGTGATGTAAATTTTATTAAAATCGTTGCGAGGAATTGCCTCGATCATCATGATAACGATGATAACCACCTAAGGGAAGAAAATATCATAATCTAATGAGTGCAAGTGATTTTAATTTAATTTTTTATTTTAATTTAAACGGCGTAGATCCTTATATAATTATAAGGATCTACGCCGTTTAAATTGTTTAACTTTTGTACATACCTGTTTTTCTCTTTGACGGAAAGACATCGTGCATAATCACTTAAATTATCCATACTTTAAAAACAAATCACACACCTTCACTTAAACCCGTCACATTAACCTCAAACGAAGATATTAATTTCCGATTTCCCGCTTAAAACACACGGATGTATTTTGGGTGACAAGGAATTCAGGCCAAAACAGCGTTCTGTATTTTTATTTTT